AGAGAGAGAGAGAATGAAAAACATTATAAGAAAATAGATTAAAGATGTAGTTTGGAAAAATGGAGTTTGGGGGTCCTAGGCCTTCAGTCTTTGATAGGACAAAGAGTAGGAGTTCCAGTGAGTTGAAATGTTTGGAATGTTTACTGGATAAGATCAAAGTTCATCTCAATATAAAGACTACCTTCTTTTTTATTTTTATTTTTCCAATATCTACAGAATATGAAGGCAACTCTAAAGGCAAGAGCTGTGTTTTTCCATTCATCTACAATGGGAAAACATTCACTTCTTGCACCAATCAAAATTCAGAGGATGGAAGATTTTGGTGTTCTGTCACAAGGAACTATGACAAACACCGGCAATGGAGTTACTGTGCTGATACAAGTAAGATAAATCAGAAGTTGCTATATTAAGAATCAGAAATCAGAATGTGAACGTTCCTTAAAATACCTGGGTACAATATTTTAGTTGACATACCAAATTTAGGAATAATGTCAACATAACGTAGGAAAATAAATGTGCCATAGTGATTATTGCAAACTAAAAGATAAAAAAAGGTATCTCTGAATTGGGTGGAAGACAATATTTAATTTATCGATATCGTTATCCTATTTGGTTAGAAATCTAGGACAGCTCTTTATTTTCATAATCAACTCATATGCCACCTCTAGGTAACTTTAGGCACCTTACATGTTAGATTTAAAATCCACAATTTAACAATATAAACAATAATTAATGATGCCAATGACACATCAAAGAAAAACAAAAATAAAGATTCCAATTACTCATCATGTAATATAAATCCAATTTTACAGAGTAGATTATAAAACACTCTGTCCTAAGTCCTGTTGGAAGAGTCAGGTCCTTAAAGATACAGGAATATGCATCAGAGTCAATGACATATAGAATTCAGGAAGAATGCTATTTCACAGAATGGGTGCAGCTACAGGAGAGGGTCATCTCCTAGGTCCTGCAAGATGACATGTTCTACATCTGGGAATTGGAGTTTGCCAACTTTATGCAATTTTAATTCCTGGGCAGAAGTTGCAGGAGATGAGTGTGATCCTGTAGGTATCCAGGCTATAAGCCATCTGATAACCTACTTTGTCTTAAAAAGAAGAAATACTGTTTATTTTTTTACTTTATAAACAGCTGAACTGTATCTATGTATTCCACAGAACTGACCTTCTACCATTCCTTCTAGGACTGTAAACCAAGAAGGCCTGTTGGACAATATGTATGATTCCTCAGGTAAGACAGAAATGGGAAAGGGACGAGAAAATGCTTGAGATGCTAAGGTTAGGTGGGGAAAAGATCTGGCCACACAAGTCTTTTTAGCACAGTAGAAAATAACATTACAACCTCAACTTTTTACTTTTACATAATAACACATACCAGCCATTTCTATAATAACATACCTATCTAATCAGCAAAACCAAAATTAGCATTTTCTTTTNTCATGATTGTTAGGCATGACATTATGTGGTTGTAAGTTTTGATTTACTGATTCTCTTTGTCAGAAGTTTGCAAATGCTGATCACATGATCTAGGATGCTGCTGTCATAAATACATGCTGGTTGTGAAGTGGCCACATTTTGATCATGTCACCTTTGGGATGATATGATATTTATAAATACATGGACTGGTTGTAAATCATTATTTTCCAGTGCCATTTCAAATAGTTATTACATGAATAGTTGTAAATTGAGGACTATTTATAGAATCTTCAAGGACTCACCATGGTTAGGTAAGAGTTATGGAGAACTGGAATGTGGAGGGGACACATACCATGCTTATCTTATGATCTACTCTAGGGGTCTTTATCAGCTTTAGTCTTTACAGTGTTCTTCAGTGATTAAAGAAACCCCAGAGAATGGGCTGATGCACACAAGTATGTTACAAACACCTTCAATTATCATTTGTTAATTCATAGAGACATAGTTTTAAAATTTTGGTTTCAAAAAACCCATAGTGGGCTTTGTGGCTATTGCCACAAAGAAGTTACATACAGGAATATTTCCTATTTTGACAGGAATAATTCCTATTCCAGAAAACAAACTCAAAATTTAAAGGAACTTTATAGGCTTGAACACTGAGATCTATAAACTAAAATGCTGTTCACTGATGAAAAATTATAAGGTTCTGCATAATAGGAAAAAGACAGGTGATACAAATTTGTTGGTAATACTTCATTCATGGCGATCATTCCACAGTATGGGATGAGGTACCATCAGTATGCTGATGATACCCAACTTTATCCATGCCTGATGACATACATATTGCTGACAATACCTCTCTTAGTGCCAGAAGGCTGTGAGGGCATGTAGGGAGACAACAGACTTCAGCTGAACCCCCACAGCAAGACTGAGTGGCTGTGGATATATGGAGCCCTGACCTGGGAATTTAAGATCTTTACTTCTGCATGGGGTTGCATTTTCCAAGACAGATCTGGGGTACAACTAAGGGTTTCTTCTAGAATCTTGCTGAAAGATTAGGTAGATGCTGTGGCTAGGAGACCCTTTGCAAAACTTTATATTGTATACTAGTTAGGACCTTTCCTGGATTGTAAGGCCCTGTCTCAGTTATTCATGTCCTGGTCATCTTGTACTTGGGCTATTTCAGTGTGATTTACATGAAACTACTATTGAATAACATTTGGAAGCTACAACTATCAGAAATGCTACAGCAGTTTTAAG